GCTGGAGGGGCCGAGGCTGCCTCTTTCGAAACATCCTTGACCCAAGGAATGGAAGGACAAGGTAAAGGGACGTCAGGTCGAACGAAGATGAACTTATCACTCCACTTGGGAAGGTTGGAGGGGATGTCATTGATGAAGTGCGCACCATTGCGACTTTTCAAATAAAGACCCCGACCCAGTTTAGAGGGGCAGTAACAATAATGAAAGAAGTCTAGGTCGAATCGACCTAGATGGATGTGACAAAGGATGATGAATGTGGTGATGAAACGGATGGCGTTAGGAGGGAGTTGATGCAAGGGAAGCGAGAACCACTCGCAGATGCGGATTATATCACGGTTCAAAGGAAAACGTAACCCGAGCTTGAACTGGACCTCGAAGAAAGGGTAACAGTCTCGCGGAGGATGATCATACCGGTTGGAGGGGGAAGATCTAATGAACGCACAACCAAGAGGTTGGTCGATTTTCTTGGGATCAAACCAGGGGTGAGAGAGAGAGGTAGAAGATGGTCGTTTGGAAGGTCTCTTGGTCGAGGACCGCTTGGGCGGAGAATTCGAAGAAGGAGGAACGGTCGAAGATGCGGGAAAAGTGGGCTGAGAAGAAATAGCTTCGTCTTCCTCTGGCTCATCCATTGAGCCAAAGGCAGGTCGACGATGGCGGAGAGGGATATTATCCATAGTGTCGCCGGAGTTGGAAGAAGCAACACGAGCTACGAAGACGCGGGTAGGGAGTATCGCCGGGGCGAAGGATGGAGAGAGGAACGACTTCTAATGCGGAAGGCAAGATCTCAACCGAACCAGAGGAGGTGGTCGAGGTAGCAGGATCTGAAAACAAAAGAAGAGAGGAACAATATCAAAAAGAGGAATTTTGGCAAAAAATGAGAAGGGTAGGAGGAGAAGGTTTTCAAAATTAGGGTTCCACGAAAGGGGCTATTTTGAAGAAAAGGAACAGGGATTCCGAGAGAATTTCAAAGGGGAAGGGCGAAATCTACAACGATCAACAGACAAGCACAAAAATTCAATGCACAGATTCAAAACACTCAATCAGCAAACTTCAGATACCCAATTCGAAAAAGAAAAGAGAGGAAAAATTTCTCAAAACACAAAAGCCCAGATACATGAAGTACAAAATAAGGAGAAAAACAACTTACTCATAATTACGGAGGAGAGAATCGGGAAAACTTGAAGATTGCAGGAAGAATCGCCGACGGAAGCTAGGATTTTTTGCATAGAGAACTTTGAATGCAAAGGAATTTGGGAGAGATGAAGGTGGAAAAAGTTTGAAATTCTGCTAAGTACCGGTTTTATACTTTGGAGGGTTTAAGAGGTGAAAGAGGAGGACCGTCATATTAAAGTTGGATCGTGCGGCGGAAAAATTAAATTACACGGTACTCCAAGTGAGCACGTTATGCGAGGGGGCGCCATCATTAAAGTGCCTGACACACGCGAACAGGCGTGACGCGTGGCAAAAAAAGCAGGAGCGACAGGAAGGACTTGAAACAGACGACTTTATTACTGGCAATTAATGGGAAATTATTTGAAAACATGAGCGGGAAACCTATTGGCTGGTCGACATTGGATGACGAACCATCAAGGAGGTCGATAAATACCAATTCACTCTTAGATCGAGTCATCTAGACTCGACCAGAGTGGGGGGGACTAGATGATATAGGATATTATATACTCAAGGATAAACCGGCCTATTTGGCCGGTCGAGGAGGCCAAACCAGAAGCAGGCTGAGCCAAAAAGGCGGGAGAGTTGACGCTCGAGCAGCTCAAGGCTCGAACAGACAAGC